GGGCACATGAGTCTTGCTGCCTGCTCTCTTGGGTGACCTCTCAGCACACCTGCTGAGATCTGTCCTGTGGCCACAAGGAGACTGTGATGAAGAGAGATCAGAGTGCTGGGGGCTGGACGTCTACCAGAGGGGGCTGGGTCTTGAAGGACAAATCCGCAGGACAAGATGACGGGAAGGAGGAAGTTCCATGGGCGGGAGTGCAGAGGGGTGAGGTCCCCACGGGGTTCAGGAGAAAGGGGGAGGTGCTCCTGGGGTGAGGCTCTGGGATGTCACTGTGATGGCTGCTGAACACTGGGATTATAGGGGTGAGGAAAAGGCTTCTTGGTGTTCGGGATTCCTCTTACAATGGGGATGCATCTCTACAAGGGGTCAGCTAATGTCATGTCAGGGGTGGCTGATAACCTTTCACTTGGCCATTTGTGGCATTGTGAGTGGGGCAGATTATAGTGGAAAGGATGATTGGAATGTGAAGTCATCCACCTGTTAATGAATTCTCCATACATTCACTCATCTAACCATTCATCTATGCTCCCATGTATTTATCTAACTAGGCATCAATTGAGAATCCACTCATCATTCATCTTTCCTCCCTCCCTCCCTCCCTCCTTCTCTTCCTCCCTTCCATCCATCCATCCACCCATCTACCCATCCACCCATCCATCCATCCATCCATCCATCCAATCATCCATCCACTCATAGATTCAATAAACCATCCACCCATCTATCCTTCATTCATCCATCCATCCATCCATCCATCCACCCATCCATCCAATCATATATTCAATAAACCATCCACCCATCTATCCTTCATTCATCCAGTCATCCATCCATCCACCCATTCAATCATCCATCCATTAATCTATCCATCCATATATTCAACCATCTTTCCATCCATCCATCTGTCCGTCCATCCGTCTGTCCATCCACCCATCCATGCATGTATTCAACAATCCGCCCATCCACTCACTAATACTAACTAACTGGTTGTTCCCTGCCTGCATGTAGGCCTAGGCACTGGGACCTGGTTATGAATCAGACTGAAGCGAACCTCTCAAACTGTAGAAGGCAAGAGATTCCACGCAGGTGCCCCAGCGCTGAGAGGGAAAGTCTTCATAAAACATGAGGCTCCCTCCTCTCCCTTCATGGAAAGTGGCTCTGCTTTCATCTGTTTCACATACCAGAGTTAACAGGAGAGTGCTTCACTCCCAAACAGACGCCTTTCAACCATCGCCTTAAAGTACAACTGGAAAAATGTAAGCGAGCGCTCCCAGGCTCCTCCTGATTCTATGAATGTACAATGAAAAGTGATCTATTCCACTTCTGAGATACATCCTGCCGCTTAAATAAACCTACCCAAATGAACTCACACGTACCTCTGCATATCCAAATTTCACGCTCACCCTGTTATCATTCACTAAGCTTTTATCTCTGGCTTGATGAACAATTTATTAGCTAGAAGACTCACTGAAACAGGGTCACCAGCCACTTTTCCCTGTTTCTGCAGAGGAAATGGTGAACTGGCCGACTTTACAGAACGAAGCCATGGCAGAATGAGACTTTCCCTTGAACCCACACCAAACGCTCATTTTCTTGCTAGAATCATCACTAACCCTGACCTCCTCATTTTCTCTTCTCTTCCATTACCACCCAGAGTTGGCTTTTAAGCTATTTTCTACAAAGAACACAGATTTTTTCTACAGCACCAGCGGAGTTACCGTGCACACTCGAAGAGTCGGAGATGGTGGAATTGTGTGGAGAAGCGGAGAGTGAGGGGCTGGGTTTACCCGCCCATCAAGCTCCCACAGCTCAGCTTGCTGTACGAGACGCAAAATCATGGCTTAGCAAAATGAGTGCTTGCAACATGAACTTTCCAGTCTGTTCATGAATAGTTGAAGGACATGTTAAAGTCACAAATGCTGAGAGTTATCACAAACTGGACCAGCCAGAGCTGTGTCCTTGAGCCACCATGGCTGAGCCCCCTTCCTGAGGACTGTCTTTCTCGAGCTTTGCTTTGGCTTTTACCTTCATGGGTTCTGATTCTGGAACACGTTGAAGGCAATGGGATTTTGTCTCTCCCTCCAAAGAGGTTCCCTCAGCTCCGAGGATTATTGAGCGTGTATGAGAAACTAGCACCAGAGCAGCAGCATATTAAAAATAATATAGCATAAGGAAAGGGGGCTTATTCTAGGAATGCAAGGATGGTTTAAAGAGCAGGGAAGCTATTAATATATTATGTCACTTTCTTGGGCAAGACGAGAAAACTAGTAGACTAGGCAAAGACAGATATAGGAGTACCCCTCTTTTCTGCAGTTTAGTCAACAGCAGTCCAACATATTAAGTGTAAAATCCCCAAAATAAACAAGCATAAGTTTTGAATTGTATGCCATACTGGACAGTGAAATCCCATCCTGCTTTGCTCTACCCAGAATGGGAGTCTTCCCTTTGTTGGGCGTCTCTGTACTGTGCATGCTCCCTGCTCATCAGTCACTGGGTAGCCACCTGTCTGCGTTATCAGATCGACTGCCACAGCACGGCAGTGCTTGTGTTCAAGTATCCGTATTTTACTTAATCATGGCCCCAAAGCACAAGTGCAATGATGCCGCAATTCAAATGTGTTCAAGAGTAGCCATAAGATGTTTATATGTACAGGAAAAAACGTAGCATAAATAGGGTTTGGTACTGCCTGTGGTTTCAGGCAGCCAGTGGGGTCCTTCGAGTGTGTCTCCCGCAGAGAAGGGGGAGCTGCTGTGTTTCCTGGCCGTGGTCAGTCCTGACGATCTCAACCGACTGGCACTATCCCGCTGAACCCCAGAGCTTTAGGACCGTTTCTCAGCCTCTAACTCATGGACCGTGGATTCCTTAAAACACGATGGGGTGTTTGGGGTCAAGGCCTCTATTTCCTCAACCCCCAAGGTTACTCTGAAGCCCTGAGTTGTCTTGAGACCCAAACCAGCCCCAGTCCCGGGCCTTTTATTCACCTCCATCAGTACCCTGAGAAGGTGAGTGGCCCAGGGTCCTCTGGAGAGAAGGGTCGCGCTTCAGCTACCTTTCTTCTGGGGAGAGCCCAGAGCTCCTCCATCACAGCTGACCTGCACCTTGTCCTAGGCTCTAGCTAAGTAAGACACGGAGAGTCCTGGGTTCAAATCCTAGTCCTGCCTCTAGCAGGTGGCGCCCTCTGAGCAATTCACTCTTCTGAGCCTCTATCCCTTCATCTGTAAAATGGGCACAACAGTCTCCACTATGAACTAATCAAAGCACACTGCCTAGAAGGCTGTCTGGCACATAGTAGGTACTCAGTAGACAACAGACAAACCTGCCAATTGTAAAAGTGTCTCTTTTACACAGATCTAAATGTGGAAAGCAGAATGGAAGCTTCAAGAGAAAAATATTGGGAAACATCCTCATGACCTTGGACTTCTTAAACAGAACACAAAGATGCCAACCATAAAAATGGATAAATCATATCAAACATTAACTCGTATAAGAAACAAAGATGTTTGGTGGGAGTCTGAGCTGTGAGGTGGCAAAGGGGCCGTGGAACTGCACGGGGACTGACCTGCAAACAGGGTCAAGGCCACAGCTGGAGCAAGTGGAAGGTTTTGAAAAAAGGCTTTCTGAAGAGTCACCGTTTAAACCTGCCCCGGGACGCTGGAGAATGCTCACCATGGAGGAACTGGTTCATGGACCCCCAGACACACAAGGGTCCTTCTTCACATCCTAATGGAATCACCCATTTTTCACGATTAGCTGTTTCACTCTAATAGGTTTGTTCTTTACGGGACACCCAAGAGAGCAGCTGCACCATCAATTACAGCAGTTCAATGTCCAACAGTATTAACAGAGTATATGTCTTGGGATGATACAGGCAAATGCATTCCAAAACCTAGGCCTCGTGTTCCATGAGGGGACCTAAAACAGCCTTTCTTCAAACAAATGGTTAGTAAAATGCCCTGCGGGATCCCTGTTTAGTTTGAAAACGTGCAAGTCCAAGCAGCAGCCAACAGGACGTGTGCGATACTCACCCAGGCTGGTGTTTGATGATGACTCACATCACCAGCGCCTCATACCTTGGCACCTCGGTTACCTGTGTTTCGGGGTTAGCATAGCTCTAGTACTTCCAATCCTGCCAAGATTTTTGCAGTGGAAGTGTAGTTCACGGTTATTGAATCAAACTTAGAAACAGACCCTCGTTCAGTTTTTTATCATATTTTTGCACTGGACTCCAAATCAAAGCCAGTGTTGAACAAAGAGAAAAATGCTCGTGCACACCTTTCTCCTCTTGCATATTTTATCAGCTTGCCATCCCCGTGGCTCTCGTGCTAAGCCAAGGGGGTGTAGAGCTGGGCCTTTCATTGTTGCGCACTCAAAACATCCTGCTGCAGGAGAATGTATTAAGACTGAGCAGAAACTGACACTGAAATGTGAGATAAACACCTGTTAAACCAACGACTGAAGTTCGGCCACCACTGTGGTTATATGATTGAGCGCAGTGTTTTTATTTAATGCTCAATATAATTGATATTTTTAAAGAATTCCAAGAATACTCCAGAGGTTTTTGAATCTATGGATTCAGTTATTAATTGCCTATTCTCTGGAAGTTTGATAGTCACATTGTTTTAAGTCATTGGCTTCTACTCCCGTTAGGTATGCCGGTGTGCAGGTATGGCGCAGGGCTGACGGGTCATTCCCTCGCTCATGAGAGCAACGAGGGAGCGGTGCCACAGCACTGCTGTTCCCGTTGTTCAGGGAGCATTGGTGACGTGCTGTGCGTGTGTGGTAGCCACACGCACTACCACAGTCCTCAGACTAGTGAGATCACTGTGGATAGTTTAAGGTGTCGGAGGTAACTTTCTAACTTGAAAAAAGTAGGAGATGTTTTAAAACAAGTTTAAATTGTTACATGAGCAATCCTTTAAATATCATCAAACCTAAAACCTGAAATTTCAATAACAGGCAAAAACTCTTTAACAAGACTGCCATCCAACGTAAAAGGTGCCCACCTTGGCTGTCATGGTTATAAAATTTTATTCTTTGACGCGCAGTAGTAAAGTCCTCATTCCTAAGAAGTCCGAGAGAGTAATCCATAATCTTATCTTCTGTACCATTTTCTGAAAATTTAAAGTTAAATATGCATCAAGTAAATAATTATACATAACAAGTGATAAACATTTTATACATCAAAATGAAGAATATCTGTTATCCCAAAGAAACCATCATGACAGTGAAAAGGCAATTCACAAAGAGGGAGGAAATTTTTGCAATATATATCCAACAGAGGACTTGCACTCAGAATACAGAAAGAACTACATATCAATAATGATGAGAGCTAATAGAAAAGTGGACAAAAGAATCATTTCACAAAAAGGAGAAATCCAACATGGTAAACTATATTTGATCACCAGAGAAATTCAAATGAAAGCCACAAGGTGGTATCTTTATTATGCACCAGAATGGCTGTAATGAAAAAATCCAGACAATACCAAGTGTTGGCAGGATGTAGAGCAACTAGAACTCTCGGGCTTGGCTAGTGGGGATATGAATTGGAACAGCCATTCTGGAAAACTGTTTAGTTCTATCTATTAAAGCAAAACATATACATACCCTATAAGCCAGAAATTCTTCTCCTAGATGGAATGCATTCTCCAACAGAAATGCATCTCTGTGTTCACCAAAGCCATGTGTACTAGAGCTGTGCAGTCCCATAAGGTAGCCACTAGCCACGTGTAGCTACTTAAATTAATTAAAATAAAGTTTAAGTCCTTCAGTTGCACTAGTCACATTTCAAGTGCTTAATAGCTACACGTGGCTAGTGGTTCTCATACTGGACAGTGAAGACATAGAACATTTTCATTACCATAGAAAGTTCTCTTGGACCGCACTGTACTGGAACATTTACTATTCATTCATAGCCCCAAACTGAAGGTTGCTCCAGTGTCCATTAAAGTATAACAGATAAGTTATTTGTGGAATCCTCACACAATGGAATACCATATAGCGGTGGGAATAAATGATCCACAGTTACGTTCAGCACTGTGGGTGGATCTCGTAAGTTAACACGAAGCAAAGGAAGCTGTGAGTTTGGTGTGTGAAATGCACGGATGACTTAGGCACCTTCTGTGTGTATGTTATACTCAGTGGTGTGTTTGTACACCAGCTTTCGGAAAAAGGATGGGTGGGTGGATGGATGGATGGGTGGATGCATGGGTGGATGGAAGGAAGTGAGAAAGAGAAAGAAATCCCCGATTTATAGTGTTTGTCCATTTCCATGGTGTAAATACTCCCCTGGTGGTAGATTTCAAGCTGGCTACCAATGGTTCAACAATGGCTCAGGAAACTCCTGAATATTTAACTGTTGACTCTTGTGAGCTGGTATTTCTACTAAACAAACAAAAGGCAGCTCTCGAGAATCCCCAGAAAAGAAATTCCTCAGTCTCGTTTTAGCTGTTCAGAGAGTCTCCTGAGACCCAGGGCGGGGAGGACCGCAGCAGGCTGGGGGGGAGGGCGAGCCGGTCTGACTGCCTGTGCCTCCAGGTGAGGCCAAGGGGGACCTTTCTGCTTGGGTCAGTGGTTTCATTTCCAAGGAAGGCTGTTGCTGCTCTGTGTCTTCCCTGAGGACACAGCAGTGGGCTTCCTGTGGAAAGGGCACTTGAGGTGCTGTCGGGCTGGGACCCTCCGCTGGGTGACCTGGTCAGTCCCCAACCTGCGTCTCGGTTTCTGCATCTGTGGTGTGAGGCAGTCGGGGTAAAGTCCCAGGGTGAATCGCAGAGGGTCAGCAGATGGCCTCTGACATCCAGTCTACAAGGTGGGCAAAATTTGTTCGCTCAAGTTGTCCTACTACGTGCCCGTGATGGGGGCTGGCACAAGGCTGGCACCTGGCCAGCCCTGCTGAGACCCTGATGGACGCCGTCTCTCCCCACCAACCTGGGGCTGACAGGGAGGGAGGAGGAAGAGGTGGTCTGCTCTCAGAATGCTCTTGGGAGGAGCCTGCAGGGGAGACTGAGTGAGTTCTGTAGTTCCCCTTGTGGGACTCAAGAACCAGAGGAGAAAGAGAAGAAAAAATCCCTATTGAGCACCTGTGTGCTCACCAAACTCACAGTGGGAACTGAGTCTCCTTGTCCCCTTTTACAGGTGAACGCATGGAGGCCTGGATGGTTTAAATGCAGGTACTCCAACGGTCTTCTGAACCCAGGTCTTCCAGCTCTTGCCATGTTTACTGCATCAGACTACATCCACACCCAACACCCACCCTTACCCCCACTCCTAGGGAGCACAGGTATCATCCAGGGGTTGAAGGGACTAGGGTCTGGGCAGAGGAAAGTTCTGGAATGGCTCTCTCGAGCAAGGCCTGGAGGTCACCTACAGACATGGAGTCCGGGTGGGGTCATGCGGGAGAAGGGAGCAGCCCCTATATGCTGACAGTCTGGGGACTCATGAGGGTCATAGCGTTATAAATGCAGAAAGAAGCAAGTTGAGGGAAATCTGGGAGGTGAATGAAAATGTGCCCAGGTTCCCGGAGGGGCCAGTGTGGCCAGTGCCCTGGGCTTGGGCCAGCACCCTGCTTTGGGCTCCTGTCTCTTCCTACAGTGGTTCCTGGGCCCACGAGGCGTGGGACTTCTCTCTTGGGGCCTTTTTTTTTTTCCTAACTGGGAAGCAAGCAGGCCCTGCATGATTCTGTGGTGACATCATGAGGGACAATGAGCCTTTCCCAGTCACCCTGGGCATGGCTCCAGGGGCAGGCAGGGCTGAGTTTCAGGGCAGCCAATCTAGGGTAGCTCTTGGTGGAGAAGTGGCAATGTCCTTGCACGTTCTCGTTTGCAGGGAAATCCTCCCTGTGAGCCTGGCTTTGGGGTACTGTGGGTGACGGCTCTGGGGGTCATGCTTTCCTTGGCAAGATTTCTGGGTAGAGAAACAGCTTTGCCCTCCACCAACCCAGGGTTCAGTTTCTAGATCCTTCCCTTTCCCACACCCCCTGGTTGTGGCATAAGAGGCTGCACAGTGGTCCCGGCGATGACCGTGGTACGTTGGCCCAGAGGGTTTGTGGTGGGAGGTGGCAAGACGGAGTCAGATTTGAAGGTGAAACTGGTAGGATTCACTGATTAGTTGCATTTGAGGTGGATAAGAAGAGCGGTAAGAAGTGACAAAGGTTGGGCATGCGGAAGGAATGAGCTGCTGTTCACTGAGGTCAAGAAGATGGCGGACCAGTGTGGTGGGGGGCTGAGTCAAGATCTCTGGTTTGGACATGTCGGATCTCAGATGCCCTGTGGACATCCACGTGGCGATAAGAGGTGGACAGGTGGATACGAGAGTCTGGAGTTCGGGAAGAAGAGTCTGGAGCCGGGGAAGTAAATGTGGGGACCGTTAGTGGGTGGATGCTGCTCAGTGCCGTGGGGCTGGAAGAGGTCACCCCGGAGCTCACTGCCAGGGGACAGTGAAAGGCGAAAGCTTTGCCAGCGCTGGGGGGTGCTCTGCAAAAGCAGGGGGTGGGGGATACTGCTGCTGTTACTATTACTACATTTGGTGCTCAAACTGAGGCTGATGCCCTCCCGCCAGGGACTCTAATGTGAAAAGACTGTGCATGTAAAACTAATAGCCATCGGATGCGGAGCACCCACTGCAGTGGGACGCTGTGCTGGACCAGAGACCTCTGAGGAGGGGCAGCCAGGACGTCTGTGGGGCGGTGACGCCCTGCTGCTGCAGCGTGGACGCTCCACCCCAGGGTGGGGCTGAAGGGGTGCACTTGACGCCACCCTGGTCCTTCCGTCCAGCTGAAGTTTAGCTGGAAAGACCTACCCGGGCCCCACCGTTGCCTAGATGTGTCACCCAGACTAGTTTCTTCTTGCCCCAGAGCCTCGTTTTCCTCGGGCGTGGAACGGGCATGCTGACCCCACCCTCGCAGGGCTGCTTCAAGGAAGCGAGGAAGCAAGGGGGCCACGTAAAAGCCATCAAAGCCATCATGAGGCTTTGTAAGCCCTTGACCTGGGAAATCTCATTTGATCCTCACTGCCAACCTCTGGAGGTGGATACTCTTGTCAGTTCCCATTTTACAGGTGAGGAAACCGAGGCTCAGAGAGAAATGACTAGCTGAAGTCACTCTCATTTCTTTGCGCACTTCATAGCCAGACCTCAGCAGAGAATGGACAAGGGTTTCATTCCACAGGCTGATGTTCACTGGGTTGTGGCTGCATATGTTTAGAGTCTGAGGTTGCTTCCAGGCTCAGTAGGAAACAGTGCTGCAATCGATTAGTGATGTCTGCTGTGGGCACAGAGGTGGTCAGTAATGGAGTGTGTCCCATCATTTGCCTCCCTTGCCCTTGAGTCCTTCCTTCTGTTAATAGCTAAATCTCTGCAGAGTTAACTTCGATGATGATAGTATTTGGTCCAAACGCCAAATTCATCTCCAAAGTCCCCACTTGTCTCCACTGTCCCTGCTCTAAAGACTGGGATATACTGAGCTTCACAGGGAGAGGGTGGTCAAAAGGACCAGACTTTCAGGTTTCTTGAGCATCTCAGTGTAGGGCAGCAAGCTAGAGTCTCCTTGCAGCATGTCAGGTCTGGGCATCAAACTAAAAGGCTGGTGTAATTATTTCCATTTTATACACGAGCAAACCGAGGTTTCTAGGTGTTAAATAGCTTGCTCCAGATCACACAGCTGGAGTCAGTGCTGGGTTCTGCTTGAACCCGAGCACTGTCTACCACACCACACTGACTCCGAGGCAGACCCCAGCCCACCTGCATGCACTCTGCCAGCCTGCGATGCCTGGCAGCCTTTAGGCAGCCTGTGAGCTCAGCTCCCAAGCAGAGACGAGTCCCGCCTGACTTCTCTGTGGATCCTTAGACGCTACCTCCCACTTTCCTTTCTGCTTTGCTACAGGCTCGGTCTCCTGTGGTGCCCCAAGGCCCCTCCTCCCCCAGATCTCTCCCCTGAGGCCAGAGGGTGGCAGGCTGTCCCCACCTCCCAGGGAGCTCTGTGGGGCTGCCATCTGCTGTTGGTGAAGAAGAGGTTGTGAAGCATCTGTCTCGGAACCAGGGTCCTGGGGGAATCCTGGGCCACCCTGCCCCGTTGGGGCCAGATGGAGAAGGCTCCCACGCCTCCA